ACGTGAGAGTTGGGTGGGGACGAATGTCTAAACTGTATTACTGTAACTATCTACGTTATGTCCATAGCTACATCTCTGTCTGCATCTGAATCTGTACTGTGTATGTGCATATATATATATACATTTTTTTTTTTTTTACAAATGAAACAAGGTTGGGTTCAGTGGATCACACCTCTAATCCCAGCACTTTGGGAGGCTGAGGTGGCTGGATCACCTGAGCCCAGGAGGTCAGGAGTTCATGACCAGCCTGGCAAACATGGCGAACTCCTGTCTCTCTCTATTTTTTTAAACAAAGTCTTGCTCTGTTGCCAGGCTGGAGTGCAGTGGCGCAATCTTGATTCACTGCAACCTCCTCCTCCTGGGTTCAAGTGATTCTTCTGCCTCAGCCTCCTGAGTAGCTGGGACTGCAGGTGTGCTAATTAGGCCCAGCTAATTTTTGTGTTTTTAGTAGAGACGGGGTTTTACCATATTGGCCAGGCTGGTCTCCAATTCCTGACCTCGTGATCCACCCACCTCAGCCTCCCAAAGTGCTGGGATTACAGGTGTGAGCCACAATGCCCGGCTCCCTGTCTCTATTAAAAATACAAAAAAATTAGCCAGGCGTGGTGGTGGTTGCCTGTAGTCCCAGCTACTTGGGAGGCTGAGGCAGGAGAATCGCTTGAATTCGGGAGCAGAGGCTGCAGTGAGCTGAGATAGCACCACTCCACTCCAACCTGGGTGACAGAGTGAGACTTCCTCTCAAAAATAAATGAAAAGAAAATAAGCTCAAAGAAATCAGGTGGTGCCACTGTGGATAAGCATCAGAACTGGAAGGGAAATGTGGGCTTTTGTGCCTTCAAAGCCAGAACTGTGTCCGCCCCTCTCACTTTAGGATCTCCATTAGTTTCTTAGGGCTGCCGTAGCAAAGTGCCACAAACAATAGGACTGTCTTCTCTCCCAGGCCAGGAGTCTGAGATCCCCGTGTCTGCAGGACCCAGCTCCCCTGCAGGCTCAGGGGAGGGTCTGCCCAGCCAGGCCTGGGTCCAGCCTCTGGTTCCTCGCTCGGCTCGGGTGGCAGAGCGCCAGCCCTCACATGGTGTTCTTCCTCTGCGTGCGTCTCTGTGTCCAGGTTTCTTACATGTGCCATTGTTTATGGCACACAGCTCTGGGGGGAAAGAAGGGCTGCAGAGGGCCCGCCCACAGCAGCTGCGGGGCTGGGTGACTCATGGGTCACAAGGCTGGGGTGGTGGGGGCCGGAGAGCCACAGTGCAGAACTCCTGGACAGCTGGCCCGCACGGCCCTCTGTCAGGGTTCACTGACGGTGGGCTTCTTGTTGGGGGGAATCCAGAGACAGCCAGGAATTCCCACATGTTAAAGCGGAAAGCACTTCCTAACCCAGCCACGTTGGACGTGGGACCCATCTTTTGTCTTATTTTCAACATCTCATAACTTCGAGGAACACGGCTGTTGCAATCTTGGTACTGTCTGCCTTTGCTCCACATGTGCTCTGCTAGGGTTATTTCTTGACATTTCTCTCCCTTTGGGGTGGAAAAAGAGGAAAAAGGTCACAGTGGGTGAAAACAAAAATGAGAACAGAAAGTACATGAGCAGAATTTCGGTGAGGATGTTGTCACTTCAGAAACCCATGCCTCCAGCTTGTGGTCTGACAAGGCGATCAGGCTCAGGACGCCAGGGGGGTGTCCCTTGCCCCCCTGCAGCTGATGTCAGTCCTGTTATAGGACAGCTACATGGAAAGGGCATGGTCTGTGCCGCGGTGCGGCTTCGATTCCAGTGGCGCCCCTTTCATGTTCTGCTTAGTCAGTCGCTGAGCCTCTGATTCTGTGGGAAATCCAGGGGGCAGACGCTGCGAGAGAGAAGGGGTGACTGAGTCATGGCCAGGCTGTGGAGACAGCCCACAGTCTGGAGGTGAAGGCAGCCTTGCAGAACAATTTGGAATGACAGAAGCTGGGCAGAGCAGGCTTTGCTTGTGTGCTTTGTTTCTGGTTTGCAGAAAGCATTAGGTTGGATGTGGGAAGTGGAAAGGTTCCTTTTTAAAGTTTCCTTTCTTGTTAAAGAATAAATCATAAGTGTGCTGATAACTTTGTTAAGCTCTAGCCTATGTAGCTGTTAGACACGCCATGCTTACAGGCACGTAGTGCATTCTGTGTCCTTGTACTTTCACCAGGATATCTGTGCTGGACGTGCTCACAGGCATGTCCCAGCTCTCCACTGCTTCGAAAACTGTTTAGAAAAGTTGTAAGTTGTCAGCCAGTCGGGTTTTAGTTTAGATTGTGAGGTCCGGCTCCAGCCAATGAAGGAGACTGGATACAGCAGTAAGGACAAGCCCAGATGCACAAGGGATGAATTGTGTGTTTTCCTTCATTCGTTGTACTCATGGCACAATGGCTAGTGAGGGCCCCTTCCTGTAGCCCGGGAAGGAACGCTTGCGTTGCTGAAAGACGCTTTGTCTCGGCGCTGATGTTTCTTGGTGGCACCGGGCATCTATTTCCAACGTTGGAGGACATTGTTGTTCTTGTTCTTCTCTCACAAAACGTAAACGAGTAGAGACTCAAAGCTTAAGCGTTTTCGTGCATCCAGACAAAGCAGAAGGAAGCGAAACAGGCAGCCGCAGCCGCACGTTCCGGCCGGGCTCTCGGTTCTCTTGGAACGCTGCTCGGCAGTGAAAAGACACCAATACTGAGAATTCAGGAGAAGAACTTCAGACACCGTGTTAAATTCTCTTTGTGGCTGAGTCTCTGCAGTAAGCTGTCTCCTGTCTAAGGACTAGACTCAAAGGCAGAGCTGTCTCCTTCGCGCCCTGTCCACGGAGAGGCTATGGCCATATGGGGAAACGACCTTTTGATCGTGGGAAGGAAGAGCTGGTGAACTGCCTTCGCTGACTTGTTAAGCCGTTCATCCAGCATTCACAGTGCTACCTGAGTGCCAGGCTCAGGGCCACACGGAGTTGTTTGGCTTTTCTCTTTTTTCCAAGATGGAGTTTTGCTCTTGTCACCCAGGCTGGAGTGCAATGGCATGATCTTGGCTCACTGCAACCTCTCTGCCTCCTGGGCTGAAGCCATTCTCATGCCTCAGCCTCCTGAGTAGCTGGGATTACAGGTATGCGCCACCAAGCATGACTAATTTTGTATTTTTAGGACAGACGGGGTTTCACCATGTTAGCCACGCTGGCCTTGAACTCGTGGCCTCAGGTGATCCACCTGCCTTGGCCTCCCAAAGTGCTGGGATGGTAGGCGTGAGCCACCGAGCCTGGCCGGTTTCGTTTTCTCTTCACATCTCAGAAGAAGGTTTCTATCCTTGTGCACTTTGCCCATCACCAGCCGGGTCCTGCGTTGATGCCAAGGTCATAGCAGGCATCACACGGCACGCCATTGGGTGCTCCAAGTGTTTGGGTGCTTGCCTTCCCCTAGGACCCAGCCCCATTCAGAGGCCCCACTCCCATATCCTGCCCTGCACCTTCCTCCAGGAAGTCCTCCTCCCGGCCACACTAGCCCATTTCCAGACTGCACCCTTGACCTTCACGCCTTACCCATGCACGTGCTGCCATGTTTCCTAGTGTCATGTCTCGCCGTCACATTCCCTGTCAGGAGAGTTCCTGCATGTCACACAAGACCTGCCCAGGGAGCTGCCTTCCCGAGTTTTCGTCTTTTCTCGTCCTCAAGGAGCCTCCCCGAGAATGTCCTGCTGGGCATGCGGCTCCTTCTGCTGGTCTCCCTCCCTCTCCTGTCACCAGAAGTGCCTTGGCCACACAAGTGATGAGCCTTTGTCCCATGACTCATTCCATTCGTCTTCTCTCTGTACCGCGTTCACTTAGCTGATCTGTGTTTCTCAAAGTTCCCTCCGCTGAATGGTTCCAGCTTCCTGTTGGAGGAAAGAGAAGCTTGCACAGAATGTGCAAGGCGGGAATGAAGAAGCAGCTGTTTTCTATAGGAACGTGGTCTGTTCTTACTCACACTGTGGGGCTCAACGTGGTTGCTTTCCTCCCACCAGTGGAAACGTGGTGCTGCAGGGAGGAAATTTAGGGCAGGGATGCCTCAGGTTGTCTGATGCTATAACGGTGGGTGCCTGTCATTCTACACGTGCCCAAACCATAGAACGGGACGTGCGTTACAGCCGATGCACCTGCATGGGTATGGTAGTCACCAGTGGGTGGACTGCACAGACGCCCGCAGGAACATGAAGCCCCAGTCATCCCCTCCTAGTGGGGAGCCCTCCCTGCCTCATCTTTATGGAAGAGTTTGAAAGGTGGTAACTTTAGGTTGCCTATTGGTTCAGAGCAGAGAAAGAGAATAAGCTCTGAAGGTAACAAGGCAGGGCTGCACAGGCCCCCTCGGTGGGACGACCTTTCAGCTCCAGGTGGGACTGTTTGCCTCACAGTGAGCAGTTGTTCTCCTGCCCTCCTGGGTAGGCTGGCGCCTGTCATTGCAGATCTGCAGGTGCTCCTGTCCCTCAAGAGGACACTGAAGAGCGGGGGAGATGCACAGTCTCCTTCTAATCTACATGCGCCACCTGCCAAGGGAAACACATTTATTTCTCAGAGGAAAACACTGGGAAACTGGGGGAAGCTATTCGCAGGGATGTCACTGACCCGGGATCTTCGTCTAGAGTAGGGTTGGCAAGCCAAGGCTCTCGGGCCAAACCAGCTCCACCACCCATGTTCTTGTATTCTCTGTAAGGGAATTGTGGTTCCTCACCATGTGCTCAGCTGCGTTATTCATCAGTGGTTACTGGTTAAAACCACAAGGAGATATCATTGCCCGGCCACCAGGATGGCAAAGTCAGAAAAGAGGAGCAGGAATCAGTGATGAGGCAGCGAAACTGAACTCACACACCGCTGGGGGTACCAAACTCACACACCACTGGGGGGGGACCGAACTCACACACCGCTGTTGGGGACCGGACTCACACACTGCTGGGGGGGACCAGACTCACACACCGCTGTGGGGGACCAGACTTACACACTGCTGGGGGGGACCGGACTCACACACTGCTGGGGGGGACTGGACTCACACACCGCTGGGGGGGACCGAACTCACACACTGCTGGGTGGGGACTGAAACAACTTCTGCTTGAGTCCTTTATCACTAGAATTTCCCTTTCCAGTGAAATCCTCCCTGGCTCACTTCAGAACTTGGATGTAGTAACCCCGTATGTTTTTAGGGGACACTTCTCATATTCCAGCTCCTGAAATTCCCACCATCTCTTCCTGTTGCCTGTTTTCTTGTCTCTTGGTAATTTCTTTCGAGTCTTCTCTTTGCCAGGTGAGTGTGGATTGAATGTTGCTTTTGCCTGTTAAAGGTTGTAGAGACGATGTGGGGACTGGATGTGTTATCTTTAGGAAGGATTTTCTTTTACTCATGGCAGGTGTTTGGGTGGGGACAAAAATCTCAATCCAATTAGGGTTTGTGCTGTTTGGGGGCTGACTTTCAGGGGTTTTCCCCCTAAACTTGCTACTAAATCAGATAGTGAATATGTTTCATGTCTAGAATTATAAACTAGAGGTTACTTCCTCTACCTAGCTCAACCTTCTTAGGGAATGTGAGCACAAAGCTAAACGTTCCAGCTTTCTCATCCCCACATTTGCAAACACGACAACGTCTGGCTGTCCGGGTCCTCGGTGAGAGGGGCAAGCCAGGCAGGCTTGTTTTTGAAGTAAAGAGGGTTTTTATGGGGAGGAGACATTGAGGGAAGAGGAGGGAGGCTGTGGGGATAGGAGGAGCTCTGGGAGACAGTGGGGCTCCCACAGTGGAGGGGTCATTGCATTTCAGTCCAGCACAATTCCTTACAAGTGACTTTTTTTTTTTAATTTCAAGAACAAACCATTTGATATAGTTTGATGTGTGTGCCCTGCAAATCTCGTGGAAACGTGACCCCCCACCACTGTGTTGGAGGTGGGCCTGGTGGGAGGTGTCTGGGTCATGGGGTGGAGCTCTCATGAATGGCTTGGGGCCTCCCTGCTGTGTCGAGTGAGTTCACTGGAAATCTGGCAGTTTAAAGAGCCTGGCACCTCCTTTTCTCTCTTGCTCCCTCTCTTGCAGTCTGACACACCTGCTCCCCCTTCACCTTCCATCAGGAGAAAAAGCTTCCTGGGGTCTCCCAGAAGCAGATGTCAGAGCCATGCTTACTGTACAACCCGCAAAACCAGGAGCCCAGTACACCTGCTGCTTCATAGGTTCCCCAGCTTCAGTTACTCCTTTACAGCAACGCCAAGCAGATGGATACACGAACCACATTAAGGGGCGAATGGTTCTTGCTAATCGATCTTGAGACCAGCTGTGTGCGTTGGGGTTAAATGGGAAACAGGTGTTAAACTTTTCTGACTTTACGCACAACACCTACTGCAATTGACCACCTTCCTCCCGATCTCCCTCGCTTTCTCCCTTCCTTGTCTCTCCGTCTCTGTCTCTCTAGGTCTCTCTCTTCCCTTCCTCCCTTGGTTCGCTGGTGTGTCAGATGACTAAGAAGGGGAAACATGCAAGTACACTCAAAAATAATTATTTTTTGAGACAGGGTCTCTGTCGTCCAGGCTGCTGTGCAGTGCGTGACCTTGGCTCACCACAACCTCCACCTCCCCGGCTCAAGCCGTCCTCCCACCTCAGCCTCCTGAGTAGCTGGGACTACAGACGCATGCCACCATGTCTGGATACTTTTTGTATTTTTTTGCAGAAATGGGGTTTCGCCATTGCCTAGTCTGGTCTTGAACTCCTGAGCTCAAGCCACCCGTCTGCCTTGGTCTCTGAGAGTGCTGGGATTACAGGCATGAGCCACCACGCCCGGCCTCAGGGGAATTAAAATGGTTGATGAGTTAAAACAAGAATTAGGTCTGCACATTATGTAGTGTAGAAGCTTCTGCGAAGACTCCCAGCCCTGTTTGGACGACATCACATCTGATTTATCCTTGTGGTCTACACTGCTGGGTGCTTAGCCTTCTCCTCGGAGGGTCTGTGAAACTTCTCACTGCCTGGGACAGGAGAAGGGAGGCCGTGTGGGGGCAGAGACCTCTGTTCCTAGTCCAGTGGCAGCGGATAAGGATTTTTTCATGCAAAGAGTAGCTGAGAAGAGGCAACAGTTACTGGCTGATTTTGACTAAGGATGAAAATGAAAATATTTCAGTCATTTCCTATTCAGTGTATTCTGTACATTTTCTCATTAATCTGACATGCAGTTTACTCTCTGGGTCACAGCCCATTAGTTCAGGGGAGAATGGCTAGTTATGGGAGACCCGAGGGCTGGGCAGGGCCACTGTGGCTCCTGACAGCTTGCATCAGGCTGCTCACGGTTTGAAATACAATGTTGCTTTACTAATCCTTGTTTATTCAACGTCCTTGAGCACTGACTTTATGAGTTAAACTTAAAAATCAGGGTTTGAGCATCGTGTTCTTAGCGGTTAATCCAGCTCAGGCGGAGTGGGGAAGAGGCTCCGCTGCCTCCTCCGAGTGCTAAGCAAGCACCTCCCTCCGGTGTGAATCCTGAAGCTGCAGAGCTTTTCACGTGGAGTCTAATCCAGTGGATCTAATTTCATTTGCCTGAAGCCAGAAATATCCCTAGGCGGCAAAGATAAGATACGTTTTACTTTACGGAGTCTGTTAGCCCTTCGCAGCTCCTCAATGCAGGCATCCGTAAACTTTCCCTGTGTCAGTTACTTAATTCAGAATTCGGTACAGTTTCTTCACGTGGTTATGGTGAAAGCTGCTCGCACCCTAGAACTGAGCATGTGCAGAGAATTGTTAAATCAGAAGCCCTATTTCACCTCCGGAAGCCTCGATGGGTCATGTTTCAAATGGAGATGGCCTGAGGGTGTTTCACAGGGAAATGGCCTTGGGAGTGCAAACGCTACTAGGATTTCGGTTTGTCTGGAATGTCTTATGAAATCACCTTCTTCTCTGATACAGTTAAAATATGCTCTTATTAGAGCTAAATGTTTGAAATATTTATCTTTTTCCCTTAAAAAAGTTCTTTTTAAGTTTATATTTTTTGAGACAGAGTCTTGCTCTGTCGCCAGGCTGGAGTGCAGCGACGTGTTCTCATCTCACTGTAACCTCCGCCTCCTGGGTTCTAGTGATTCTCCTGCCTCAGCTTCCTGAGAATCTGGGATTACAGGCGCCTGCCACACGCCCAGCTAATTTTTGTATTTTTAGTAGAGACAGGGTGTTCACCTTGTTGGCCAGGCTGGTCTCAAACTCCTGACCTCAAGTGATCCACCCTCCTCAGCCTCCCAAAGTGCTGGGATTACAGGCATGATCCATGATGCCCGGCCCCCTTTTCTTTTTTTAAAAAACCAAATAGCAGGTCATATGTCCTTAGTGAGCACACACAATCACTTTGCAAGGCTAGACATGGAGACTTCAGGGAGCTAGAGAAGTTCCAAGATTCATTAGAAAGTAGGTTGTAGATGTTAATTTAAAAAAATGACCTCTAAATCGCCCTGGAGCAAGGCAGGCATCCCCATCTAGACCGGCTGGCCCAGCGCAGAAAGGCCTGGCCTTCCTGCTCCAGGGCGCAGAGCATATAGCCCCTGGCTGGTGTGGCAGCAGGTGCCGCCCGGCCGGGGATCGAGGGAGGGTGGTTTGGAGCCGTGGGGTGAACTGGAGTTCAGAACAGAAAAAGGCGCTGTCAGGATGAGGGTAAGAAAATGCCACCTGGACGTCTCGCTTATTACTGGCACCTTGTTATCCTTGTGGCTTCAGAATAGAATGTTACTGGACAGTGCTGTCCAGGTTCCTGGCGTGTTGAACCGAGAAGTGAACCAAAGGCACAAAATAACAAAAGACCGAAGCACCAGAACAGAGTAAGGAAGGCGCAGATACACTGAAGAAGAAAAGGCACAATTCACGAAGCGGGGCGGGGCTTGAGCAAGTGGCTCTAGAGCCTCTCCTGTTAGGTTTTTAATGTGTGTGGGGTTTTTTGTTTTTTTTTTTTGACAGGGGCTCACTCTGTCGCCCAGGCTGGTGTGCAGTGGCACGATCTCAACTCACTGCAACCACTGCCTCCTGGATTCGAGTGTTTCTCCTGCCTCAGCCTCCTGAGTAGCTGGAATCACAGGCACCTGCCACCACGCCAAGCTAATTTCTGCTTTTTTTGTGTGTGTGTGTGTGTGTGGGGGGGGGGGTTGGTTTCACCACATTGGCCAAGCTGATCTCAAACTCCTGGCCTCAAGTGATCCACCCACTTCGTGCTGGGATTACAGGTGTGAGCCGCCCTGCATGGCCCAATTAGGGTTTTTATAAAGCCAAAAGAACTTGGCCACACCCCGCGGTGCCCTTTAGAGGCCTCTAATTGGTTACTCCTTATGAAGGATGGCCCTGTGACCTATCAGAGGCTGCAGTGGAGTTGGCCGTGGCAATCAGGCTGCCTAGGAGGCTTTTGTCTTATTGAGGGAGCGGGGCTGTGGCCTGTGAACTGCCCTGCCCTGCCTGGAACTGGCTGCACCTGCTGTTCCTTTGCTAACGCCCCGGGCCCGTGGCTGCCCTCAGTCCCTGTTCTCCCCGCCAAGCAGCGCAGAGCTGTTGGGAGAGAGTCTGGGGGTTCTTCCCAGTCTCAGTGTCGTCCTCAGGCCTGTCCCGAGCGCAGCGGCCGGGCTGCTCCTCCCCGGACCGTCTCTCGGGGCTGTGCATGCAGGAGCCACCTTCCAGGATGGGGACGTGAGCCAGGAGCAGGTGTCGGCCGTCTGCCGTGGAGGGGACTCCCAGCGTCCGTGTCCCTCTGCCAGGACACAGCCGGCGTGCACGGGGCATGCGGCCGAGCTGTTCCACGTGGCCCCGTGGGCTGTGGGGCCGAGGGAACCACAGACTCCTGCACTTGCTGCCTCCTGCGCGGTGAGGAATAAAACCCCGGTGGATCCGAGCATCTCCCGATTCTACCGGCGACAGTGAAATAGCCACAGGTAACTTTTTAATTTGTAAAGTAAAAGAAAATCCGTGAACTTGTGGTTCAACGTAAGTGGAGGGCTTATTATTTAATTTTTATTTTTTTCCACGTGGAAATTGCTTTAATGACCTTTTACATCCCGTGCTGATAAAACAGTTAGAAACCTGAGAAGAGCTTTACAGTAGAAGCAGATGCGATGTACTGAATTACATGTTAGAATTGAAGTAGACTGTATGTCCCTAGGGGCTGAAAATTAACACGTGCCTTGAAACAAACTCATTAACTTGAGAAACAAGTTTGTGGCTATACCACTTTGCAATGGCACCTCCTCTACCACGATCTGTGCTTAAGATTCTGTAGTGCTGTCTTTGGAATAAGGACAATGAGCCTGAACTGCAGACATTTCTTGACTTTGCTCTTGACGATTATCTTTTTTTTTTTTTTTTTTCTTCGAGACAGGGTCTTGTTCTGTCACCCAGGCTGGAGTGCAGTGGCGGAGTCTTGGCTCTCTGCAGCCTGAACTCCTGGGCTCGAGCCATCTGCCTCAGCCTTTTGAGTGGTTAGGACTGCAGGTGTGAGCCACTTGGCTAATCTTTTTTTTTTTTTGAGACGGAGTCTCACTCTTGTTACCCAGGCTGGAGTGCAATGGCGCGATCTCGGCTCACCGCAACCTCTGCCTCCTGGGTTCAGGCACTTCTCCTGCCTCAGCCTCCTGAGTAGCTGGGACTACAGGCGTGCACCACCATGCCCAGCTAATTTTTTGTATTTTTAGTAGAGACGGGGTTTCACTATGTTGACCAGGATGGTCTCAATCTCTTGACCTCGTGATCCACCCACCTCGGCCTCTGAAAGTGCTGGGATTACAGGCTGAATCTTTAAATTTTTTGTAGAGACGGGGTCTTGCTATGTTGCCCAGGCGGACAATTTCTTTCATTTGTTAATGTTTTTGTATTTTTAAACTGCACCTTGTGGAGCAGAGTAACTCCTAGGCAGGGCAGCTGAGCTCTCAGAGAACGTAAGAATATATCCTCAGAGGAGGCAGGGTCTTGTTGGTGCAGAAATATATTTAAAATTGGTAGAAGTCCTGAAGCTGATGGGGCCAAAATTAAAAAAAAGAAAGAAAAATTGGAGAAGGGCATATGTTGAGACCTGAGATAGCTTTTCTGGAATGGGCAAAAGCCAATGTCCCAGCCTGGCCCAGCATGTGCGCTAAGGCAGTGTGTAGAGAAGGACATGGGTACCGTCGGGCACGTTGGGAGCCAGATATAAGGCTGAACACCCCACAGGGTCGTGGGTGAGCCTTATGCTGTGCTGAGGCGCAGGATCCCAGAAATAAAGAGACAGGACACAGAAGTACAAGGAAAACACAGCTGGGCTCGGGGGGCCACGCCACCTATAAGCAGAGTCAGGCCAGGCCCTGAATGTCCAGAAGCGTATTTACTGTGTATAGGTTAGGGGGCAGGGCAGTGAGTGAAGTCATCTTTAAGGATGGTGATAGGGTCATGAGCAATAAAACATGGAGTCCACCCCCATTAGGTCACTGAGGCTAGGAGGTGGACAGTGCCCAGCAAGGGGCCCGTTCCCATGAAGGCAAGGGTCATGTGCAGTAAGGGGTCCACCCTCATTAGGTCACCGGGGTTTGAAGGTGGGCCGTGCTCAGTGAAGAGGGTGCAGTGTGTAATACTTCTGTCTATGGGCAAACTACTTCTAAGAAGATTTATAGGAGGATCCTTTTTTTTTAAAATTGCATTTTAGGTTTTGGGGTACATGTGAAGAACATGCAAGATTGTTGCATAGGTACACACATAGCAGCGTGATTTGCTGCCTTCCTCCCCTTCACCTATATCTGGCATTTCTCCCTATCCTTTAAGTCACATAGCAGTGACAGAGCTGTCAGGGTAACCGCCACCTTCTGGCAGCTTCCAGTGGGTTCTGTGGGAAGATGCTTTTCAAGCAGCACAGTAGCAAGAGCTGATAGAGTTCACAGTCACCGGGGTGGATTGCCGGTCTGAGGGCAGCCTTCTGCAAGAACTGGAGCAGGGTCCTACAACTCCTTTATCAGGAAGAGTGGCTCTCGCCCCAAGCCTGCCATACAGCGGGTATCTTTACGATACTGAACGCTGCCGCCTGGGCCATGGATCCTTGTCCTGGTATAACTGTTTTCCTTTAAATCATGCACTGTGTCTGCATGTGTCCCTTAAATCATGCACTGTGTCCGCTCTAGGCATTCCTCCGATTATGAACTAAGATATAATTATAGGTATATATGTAGGGAAATATTCTTTAGGCACTCATACTATCAAGTATTGTATAATTATATAGAGAGGATTATATAAAGGGATTCTTCAAGCCCTAATTCTATAAACTAATATGTGATTATGTAAAGGATTATGTAAAAGGAAATAGCTGAGTGGTAACACTATAAAGTGAGATGCTCCTCAAGCCCTCACTGTGCTGGGGTTCTGCTTAGCTCTCATTCCTCAGTGCCTATATGGGGGGTTACCCACAGGCACTAAAGCAGTGAGGCTGCTCCGACAGCAGAGACCGGGGGTTCCCTGCACACTTCAGGCTGCAGCTGTGTGGGGCCACGCGGGGCTGGCTTGGGTTCTGCAGTTCTCCGGGGCGTGAGTTTGGCCCGGCAGAGATGTTCCTGGGCGAAAGCGAGCTCTGCGTCTGTGCGGGGCGAGCCCCTGGTCACCAGCCTCTTGAACTTCTCTCTTCCTTATGTCCCAGTTGGAAGCAACAGCCAGAGCCTTGGAGTCTTCCTTGGTGACCCGCTCCACATCCTGAGTAGCTACACCCAGCTCCTGCAGTGTGGGAAGGGACTGGCTCCTCACTGCAATTTCAGAGGTCTTTTTTTCACCTTTTCTCTTTTCTTTCTGAGATGGAGTCTTGCTCTTTTACCCAGGCTGGAGTGGAGGGATGCAATCTCAGCTCACTGCAACCTCTGCCACCCGACTCAAGCCATTCTCCTGCCTCAGCCTCCCAGGTAGCTGGAACTATGGGCGTGGGCCACCACACCCAGCTAATTGCTTTGTATTTTTAGTAGAGATGGGGTTTCACCATGCTGGCCAGGCTGGTCTTGAACTCCTGACCTCAAGTGATCCGCCCACCTCGGTCTCCCAAAGTGCTCACAGATGTGAGCCACCGCGTCCGGCCCAGAGGAGGCCTTTCTGCCAAAAGCGTGTCTTTGCTGCCCCCACCTCCTCACCAAAGGCTGCTCTGGGTTCCTTTTGCTTTGTCAAGAGGCTGCCCTGTTTCTCCAAAGCCTGGAGGTCTGGCTCCAGGAGCTGCCTGAAAGGTCCACTTCCTCTCTTGGCCAAGCAGCTGGGGAGCGTGTTCTGCAGCCCTGGACAGTGGCACAGCCTTGGCTTTGTTCCTGAGCCAGGTGTGAGCACAGAATATGAATGAGCACGGGACGGCCCTCCTTGGATAGGGGGATGGCAGTGGATGGAGCCTTGCTCAGCTGCCTGGCCACATCCTTCCGCTTCAACCACGCTGCGCTGTGTTTCATCCACATCAAAGGATGCCTGGGAAACCTCAGCCGCACCTCTGTGGGAATTGTCCTATGCCCTCTTCTCATTATTGGTCAATGCCAAACACTTGGTATTGGAAAGCAGATGCAGGAAGTAATCCTCATCATCCACACGGTGCTGGCCTCTGCAGGACTGGGGTGACCTGTGGCAGGGACTTGTCGATGGCCAGGATGTCACAGGCCTTGCTGCTCAGGTCCTCAAGGCAGGAGGTGGCCTCTGTGGTGTCCACTGCTGTAGTTGCAGTCCAGCTTTAGAGTCTGAAGCTCGCCACATTCTGGTGCCCTGGTGTCCTCAGTCACCTCCATCCTTGTCAGGGTGGGACTTGACTGCTTCTGGGAGGCTGCACCCATCGTTTTTTTAAATGCAGTGTTTCCATCAGAGTGCACAGTGCATGAGTGCTGTTCAGTAACATTTACTGAACCAACGAATGGTGCACAGAGGAGTTTGGTCTATTCATCATCCAGCCAATCACCCACAGTGTGCTGAGAACCTGAGGTTGTATCTGGGGCCACACTTTCTTGGGAACCAGAGGCAGAACGAGGAATATATGTATTTGCTCTAAAATGCTCACAATTTGATCACAAGTGAGGTAACTGATGGTTGCTGCTCATTGTGACATATGACGACAGTTACCAGGTTGACCATCATTTTGGGAGAGGGAAGAGGAAGGTGACCAGTTCACCCTGGGAAGGACCAGGGAGGCCTTTGGGGGTGCTCGTCCAGGCGGCATGGGGGGCAGGCACTGAGGGCAGGTGGGGGCTTGCACAGCCCCGGAAGGAGCGCGGATTTGGGAATAGCTAGGATATCCAGCACACAGTGGCTGCCGGAGGAGGCAGGGCTGGAGAGCAAGGCGGATTCAGATGTCAATGTGTTCTGTGCATGTGAATGTGAGGAGGAGTCGTTGAAATGCAGCAGCCGTTTGGGGAATTTGAAGTTTAGAAATAGCTTGTTGGCAGAGATATGGATGCCCTCGGTATGAAACAGAGGTTTCGTGAGCACAAGTAGAGGAGGCTGCTGAGGGCAGGAGGGCTGACCGTGACCAGAAGACAAAATGGAGTGAGGGAGGCGTGGACATCGGCTGCCCGCCTGGCCTCTGGTGCCACCCCCCAGGCAGAGTCTCAGCTCCCAGAAACTGGTGTTCCACGCTAGGGTCCTTTGTTGTGCAGAGAGCAGGGAAGGTGGGGTGAAGGCTGGAGACCTTGAGACGGGGCAGGGGGCCCAGAAGGGGAGGCTGAGGGGGAGGCCTTGCTCTTCCTTCTGTGGCCCGCATGTGGAGGGCTCCTAACAGAGGAGGGAAACTGAGGACAAGGCTGCGAGGACCAGGCTGCTACAGGGTAGGACCAGAACCCCAGCAGCCCACGCACCGGTGGCGTGTCCTGAATGTGGTCTGTGTCTTCAGAGAATCTTGTCTATGCACAGTGTGGTGTTAGTGTAAAATTGAATTTTTCACACTATAAATTGTTACAGACCATAGTGGTGT